AGAATTTGATTTTTAGAAATAGAACTTTAATAAGAATTAGAAATTAGTTTTTAAAATAGAATTTGATTTTTAGAAATAGAACTTTAATAAGAATTAGAAAATAGTTTTTAAAATAGAATTCGAATTTAGATAGATTTTAGAATTGGGATTTATTTAATTAGATTTAATTAGATTTTAGAAATAGAATTTTAATTTGGAGTTTAGAATAGAATTAGAATAGTTAATTATTAGTTAATTAGATTAGATTAGATTTAGAAATTAATTAGAATTTTAGTTTTAACATAGAAATTAGAGTTTAGGGATTAATTTCAATTAGGATAGAATTAAATTCAATTAATTAGTTTTTAGAATTAGATTTTAATTAATGATTAATTAGGAATTAGTTTAATTTTATTAATTAATTAGTACATAATTAAACACAAAAGGACAAAAGCTAAAAGTGACACGTTGCTGAGTATAAAGGCCATGAGCACTATTCATCTTCTTCCTTGGAGGCAACCCTAGCCGAAAAACCCTAACCATTGCACTATTCATCATCCTCTCCAATCCGCAAACCCTAGATGGCCGCCGAAATTCACCATCACAAGCCCCAACCGAAAACCCAAACTCTCTGTCTCTCTTCTTCACAGCAAAACAAAAAAACAAACAAAAAAATCATCATCTCCTTGTAGCTACGTGTAATGGTTGTTCTTCCATTTCACCTTTCCTTCATCTTCTAACTTCCAACTTTTACTCACCATGAAGCTCTCCCTCAAATTCCACAACACCAATGAAAATCAACAAACCCAAATAATGACAACAAAATTACCCATCACCATTTTCAACCATCCCTTACTTTCAACCATCACCACCACAGGTAACTCCACTTCCGATTTCTCATTCTCACTCTCAACTAACTTCCCAACTGGTCCAACCTTCAAACTCTTTCAAACCCCACATTGCCATCTCTAACCTCTCATTCTTCCCAACAGCAAACCCGCGTAAATGCCTTTCCCTCACTTCCTTCAACCTCTTCCACCTCCAACAAAACAACCTTCAACCCTCTTAAAACGCCATTTCCCTAAATCAAAATCAAAAACCCTGTTTAAATTTCAGAACCAGAATAGAGACGAAAGATACATAGAAGAAGTTTGGAATGGAGAATGAATTCAACAAATCTAGATCGATTGAAACGAGACGAAGAGAAAAGGGACCAATTTGAGATGAAATGCGAGGGATTGAGAGTGAGATACGAAAGCAGGTGGGAGATTGATGTGTTGCGATTCCATTCTGATTTAGGTTTTGGTTGAAATTCGTTGTTTAAAAGAGAGGAAATACTTTGGGTTTTGTTTTATTTCTTTTTGCAGTTTCTTATTTATTCTTTTTTAAGATGGATGTGCAAATGATAATATAGTTTTCAGCAGGCCCCCCATTTGTTATCTCCCCCCCTCCCCCTTTTTTTATTTTGCGGATTTTGCTGGGAGGGATGATGGGCTTGGCCCACGTGATTCTCTCCCATAATCACACACTCTGCCTACTTATCCACCCCCTTTTTTTTTTTAATTCAAACTTTTCTAAAATATTTTTTTTTTCTTTTTATTAAATTGTTAACATATTTTCTTAATCTAACTTTTTAGAGATTTTTAAATAATTTAGTTTTTTTTAGATTTTTTATATATTTTTTTCTAATCTAGTTTTTTATAATATTTCTTTTCTTAATAAATTTTTAGATTTCTTTATATTTCTTTCAAATTTTAGTTTGTTGAATTTTTTAAATATATTTCTCTAAACTTAGAGTTTAGTGCTTTCACTTATCTTTGAAGTTTTATTATTTCGAGTGGGTCGATGAAGAGACCTCCAAGTTGTAGTGTGTCAAATTATTGACGAATAGCAACGAGTCCGAGACCATTTTTTCTTTATAACTTTTCATTTTCGATTTGTATTCATCTTATCTTTCTTTTGGGTCGATGAAGAGACCTCTAAGTTGTTATACGTCAAATTATTGATGGAAACGACAAATCCGAGACCACCTTCTTTCTCTCCTCATTTCTTCTTCATTTTCGATTTTATTTTAATTTCCTCGATCTATGAAGTATTTTAATTTGTGAACGTTGGTTTATCGAAGTCGATAACCTTCACAATTCCAAATCTATGGAAATGACCATTTGGGTCATTTTTTTTACTTTGGGATCGTGATAGGCTACCTTCGATTAGTCGACATAATGTTTGCGATTAAGACGAGATCTCATTTTTTGGTTCGTGCGACACGATTAAATCGAAGAATGATCATCAATATCATTTCTCTATATTGTCTATAGCACCTCCTATATTTCGACTTCCCTCATAAGTCGAGCTACGACGGTTCAGCGTCACATTTGTCCCGATTCGATTCACTAACACTGTCAAATCATAATTCAAAACATTTAATAACTTCGACGAGTATTGTGCCCCGAGTGTTAGGTGCGTAGGAAATGATAAGTGGAAGGGTTTCTCCTCACTTGTAAAAAAATTTAAAATTTGTTTTTGTACTTTTTATGGCTGCGCCTATCTCCTTCAAACGTGGGGTTAGTCTAGAATGCCAATACTGGCTCCTATCAACCGGAATCCATTCACATTCCCCTACGTTAACAAGCAAGTTTATTTTTAAAAATCAAAACGTGTATACCAACGATGTTTCTTTGTAACTAATTTATTTGTGAAATGTTTCTTAGTAACTAATTTATTTGTGTATCTTTTTTTTTGGTGGTCTGTTCCGGGAATGAATTACCAAAGATGTCCCAGGAGCTCAATAATCGTTTACCGCAACCTTATATAACACATTGGGTCAGATGATGTAATTTATCTACTAACGATGTACCATTACTTTGCCTATTTAATAACCACATCCTTACTTTTCTCATTAAATCTATTATTAATGTAGTTTTTCTGGATGTCGTACGTGGGTCTCGACCATCAACCCAACGCCAATGATGTTGCCGTGTGGACAGCTAAAACACCTATCATTCAGTTCACTACAGTGGAGATGCACCAAAGTGATCGGGTGAAACTGCAGTTTGGCATGCATCGGGATATTCCAGTCGCTCCGACGTCTTTGGGAGACTAGCATCAACTTAAGGTAGATACACAATGGAGTGTAAATCATTGGAAGGACTTGCAAAAGAGATGTGTATGCATTGGAAGAACCGACATCGACACATCTTAACCGATCCTAATGTGGAAGGGGCTAGACCAAGTTATTAATATATGATTTGGTTTAGGTCGGTTACAACATCACAACACTTTGTGTCTGAGCCGACATATTTGATTGACCCACGGCAACATGCTTCTTCCTTAAACACACAGCAACAACCCAATGTCCAACATCAAACACCATGTTATACCCAACATCAAACTATGCCCACCCAATCAATCTTCCAAAATCGCAACCCATACATGCCACCAACCCAATCACAACAACAAGAGCCTTACCCCTACCGCCAGCCTCCCGAAACTGACACCACTTCTGCCTATAGCCCTGATAACTCTATCGACCCTACCCATCCAACTATAGCCCTGATAACTCTTTCGACCCCACCTCAGCCAACTATAGCCCCCCACGAATGAACACGCAATCTTCCTACCATCAAAATATCTATCTTTTTTTTACTACCAAACCCCATAACAACCATTGTATCGTTTCCAAACTGATTTGATGTACCAATTCGGCCAACCATACCGTCCACACCCAACCCAACCTCCTCGTCCCTACTACGAAAACATGGGCATGGAACTGAATTACGGAAGCGCCGCTGGCAGCAGCCCCCCGACTATTGGGGTCAAATGCTTCAAAATTTATCTGATACGCCGGGACCATCTCAACAAATACCTCATCCATAGGTCAACAAGCTCGTGGTAGACCTGACACCGCACAAATCTTTTGCAATGTGGAACCAGTAGTCATTTTGACAGGGCCGGTCATTGATTTTTTTTCCATATGTTATACACTATTTTCGTTTTTTTATATTACAAATATTATAATTTTATTTTTTCATTTGATTATTTTTTTTACAACATAATATTAATTAATATAAATATAAAAAAATAGGACACTTGAGGCGCCATATGATATGATATGGCGCCTCCTCCCCTGGGAAACTCATACAAGGTGGCGACTTGGTTAGGATCAGTCATTTTAAATGGCGTCTTGGTTAGGCTTTTAATGCATGAGCCATTTCGGTGCATGCATGTTGAAAGTCTGCCATATTATATATATATATATATATATATATATATATATATATATATATATATATATATATATATATATATATATATATATATATATATATATATATATATATATATATATATATATATATATATATATATATATATATATATATATATATATATATATATATATATATATATATATATATATATATATATATATATATATATATATATATATATATATATATATATATATATATATATATATATATATATATATATATATATATATATATATATATATATATATATATATATATATATATATATATATATATATATATATATATATATATATGTAATTTCTTTATAAAAAAAATTCATTTTATGATGACGCTTAACTAATAATATTAAGGCTACATAAAAAAATTAACAGTATATGTCATAGATTCAAAAAGTGTTCAATGATTCAAAGACTAACATAACTCAATTTAATTTTATAAAGAATTAAATAATTTTCTTTTTCTTTATATTAATCTGAATTCTACAACTTGAGAGCAAAATGAATCTTCACTCTAAAACAAATTTTATGGATTCAAAATCAATTAGAACTAACCAAACATAATCTAGTCATACTAAACTATATAAATTGGTCCATGTTTATTTAATTCTTTAGAATAGATCCATAGTAAATTCACCCATGTTTATTTAATTCTTTAGAATAGATCCATATTACATGTTCAAATAAAGGACAATAATTGAGATGACAAAGAAAATGATCATTACTTATTTTTGTGTAGTTGTTGACCTTAAGATGCAAAAGAGGAAACGAAACCCTTCACCAATCCGATGAAGTTCTTTGCTTTAGATGCCTCAAAAAATTCAACACCATGAAAACCTTCTTCTTGATAATCCACCACCACTTCCACACCCTTCTCCTCCATCAATTTCACCAACTCCTTATTACGATCAACCAACGGATCTCCACCGTTCATACTCACCAACACCTTCCACCCTTGATCCTTAATCTTCTCATATTTTTCATCAACACCATTCTCAGCCGTTAGATTGGAATACTCATGATCACGATCAACTCCAATTGGTAATGCTAATTTCCACATCAAATCACCAACACACAATGGAAAAACAGGATCATTCTCTAATCTCTGCTCTGACTCAGTCCTCTGGGTCCCACCAAAAAACGGTTGACGCAATATCAACCCTTGGATTTTCATCGGCTCAAGATCTCTCACATTTTCAACCACACGTAGTCCTGCATGATAGGCAATTGTAGCTCCAGCACTATTTCCCATTAGATAACATTTAGAATAGTCAACATATTTAGTCAACCATTCATCTTCACTGGATCTAATCAAACTTAAAGCTTCCATAGCATCATCGTATGCCGCCGGCAACCGGTGCTCCGGCGCTAGACGGTAATCAACCGATGCGACAACGGCCTCCGCAGTGTCAGCCATGTCGACACAAAAATCATGGAACATGGTGGAGGCTGCACTAAGTAGGATGAAGCCACTTCCATGGAAGAAAACAATGAGTGGAAGAAGTTTATTGTTTTGGTTTGAAATTGTTGCTTTTTTAGGTAGGAATAATCGAAGCCATGTTTGGTTTGAGTTATTGATGGTGAGATCTTTGGTTAGAACAGAGATTGGGAGAGTGGAATCGGATGAAGCTGAAGTGTGTGGATCTTCAAGATTTCGAGTGAGTGTGTCGTCGGGATTGTGGTGGATTTTGAGGAATTGGTAGGGATCGGTGGTTGGTGGCAGGGTCCATGTTTGATTAGCCATGGTAGAGAGAGAGAGAGAGAGAGAGAGAGAGAGGTACTTCTACGGTTCTATCAATTTAGGTTAGTTCCGTCTCCATAATGATCAGGTCCAGCTCTTAAAGTTATTAATCATAAATAATACTTTTTAAAATAATTTTCACACTTTCCATTTTGTTGTATAGGTAAAGTAATGATATGAGCGTCGATTTAATTAATAAAAATATAACTTTAACTTTATTGAACTAAATTTTTTTAACATTTTCTAATACACCTTAAATGACATATTTATATCAACAACATGTGGAACCACCATGTGCTTACAAATATGTCTCCTATAATGTCTCTTCAACTTATGGAATCATGTGCTTACAACTATAATCAAAAAGAGATCCAAGACTTAAAAAAGCAATTCACTTGAAAAACTTTTGTGATAAGTCTTTTTCATTAATGAAGGATTTAAGCCCCGTGAAAATTCTCAGGCAATATGATTCCTAGCTAAATAGGTATCGCTAATAAATTGTAATGAGATAGGTCTCTCGTAAAATTGACTAGAGAATGACCTATCTTGTAAAATTGATTAGAGAATAAGTCATTCGCTAAATGTAATTCATAAATTTCAAACTGTTATAATGTAGGTGTTGGAGCATACTAATGACACAAATGTGCCAGTATTTTTCTAGAAAATAAGCTTCTAGCAAATGCATATACGTTTTGAATTTTGTGAGGGGCAAAACTCCTAATTCATAGTGTCAGACATTTGTGAGGGGCTAAGTCCCTACCAACTGCATATACGTTTTGAAATTTGTGAGGTGATTAATCTCTCACAAATTGCTAATTAAGTTGTGTGAGAATTAACCCCTAACTAATGTTTATAATATTATATAAAAAATATTATAATTATAATATTATAATTATAATAATACAATTATAATAAATAAATATGTATTTTTAAATTTTGTGAAAATTTTAAATTTTGCAAAATAAAATTAGAAAATATAACAATTTATGATTAAAAGTGAAATAAAAATAAATTATATCCATATCAACCAAAATAAAAATAATTTATGATTACAGATGAAATAAAATAAATTTTAAGAATATATATTAAAAGTTTTATATTTAAACAAATTTAATCAATTTCTTCCTGAGCTTCCTCATCCTCTTGATCTCCTCCTTCAAAACCTTGATTCATATGTGAACCCATAAATTGTTCAAATCTCTGTGTTGGAAATTCATCTCACACCCTATGAAGAATTTCCTTCAATCTTGATCTCAAGATTGATGAACAAACCCATAATATGATAGTAATGGTAATAACAAGTACTTATCAAGAACAACAAAAGAAAATAAGAACACACAAGAAAGAGAAGAATGAGAGAAGAAAATATTTGGAGAGAATTGTGTTACCCACAACTGTGGGATTTCTTATTGAACTTTCACTTGCTAACTGCAACTGTGAAATCTGTTCTGTTGTGATGTAGAATACAAAGCAAGGCACCCTATTTATAGTTTTAGGTTTACACTAGCCCAAAACATAAAAGGCCCAAAATATTATAAATCAAATCTAATCATATGATATCAAATCTAATCATATGATATCAAATCTAATCATATCAAATCTAATCATATGATATTAAATCTAATCATATGATATCAAATCTAATCATATCAAATCACAATGAATTATATTTAACAATCCACCTAATTCATTGTGTCTAAATTGTCTACATTCATCATGGCCCTTAGTCTTCTGAAGGCTTCGACCTGCACTCCCTTCGTCATGATATCTGCAATTTGATTCTAAGTTCTGCAGTGTTCCAACTTCATCTTCCCTTCTGCTACCCGCTCTCGGAGATAATGGAACCTCATTTTGATGTGCTTGCTTCGACCATGAGCTATTTGATACTTTGCCAAGTTGATAGCTGACATGCTGTCTATCTTCATGGTAATTGCTCCATGGTTCTTCCCTGTGATTTCTTCGACCAAGTTCACCATCCAAGTTGCTTGACATGCACAAAGGGAAGCAGTTATATATTCTGCTTCGCATGATGATAATGCCACCACTGGTTCCTTTCTCGAATTCCAAGCAACTGGTGCACCACCTAACATAAACACATATCCAGCTGTGGATTTTCGATCCTCAGCATCACTACACCAACTGGAGTCTGTGTATCCCACTAACTTGCATTCTTTTCCTTCATCAGCTGCTGGAAACAAAATGTCATAGTCGAGAGTTCCTTTCAGATACCTCAGTATCCTCTTCGCCGCTGCTAGGTGTGATACCTTTGATTTCTGCATGAATCTACTTATCATACCAACACTGTATTCTAAGTCAGGCCTTGTGTGGAAAAGGTATCTAAGTGACCCAATAAGTCTTCTGTATTGGGTTGGGTCGACATCATCTTTATCTGAATCCTTCGACAGTTGCAATCTAGGCTCAGTTGGAGTCGAAGTTTGGTTGCAATCTTGCATCTCAAATCTCTTGAGTATCTCGCCTGCATATCTTCTTTGGTGCATCATCAAACCTCTACTTGTCTTGTAGAATTCGATGCCAAGGAAATATGAGAGATTTCCCAAGTCTTACATTTCAAACTCCTTACTCAGGTCATGTTTGAAATCTTCGATCTCCTTCTTGGAACTCCCTGTTATCAACAAATCATCAACATAGAGACATAGTATAAGCAATTCGCCATTGCTTCTTCTTACATATACTCCATGCTCAGTTGTACACTTCACAAATTCCTTCTCCCTTAAGAAGCTGTCAATTTTCTTATTCCAAGCTCTTGGAGCTTGGTTAAGTCCATACAGGGCTTTATGAAGCCTGTACACCTTTCTTTCTTCGCCTTGTTTCACAAACCCAGCTGGTTGTGCAACATAAACTTCTTCTTCTAAGGGGCCATTAAGGAATGCACACTTCACGTCCATCTGACATGTGTGCCAGTTGTTCATATTTGTTAGACCAACAACCAACCTGATTGTTTCGATTCTAGCAACAGGTGTGAATACTTCATCGAAGTCGATTCCTTCCTTCTGAAGAAATCCTTTCGCCACAAGTCTCGCTTTGTGTCGAGTTACTTCTCCTTTAGGATTTACCTTCACCTTGTAAACCCACCTCACATCAATTGCCTTCTTGCCTTGCGGCAATTCGACAAGTGACCAGGTATCATTGACTTTGATGGACTCTAACTCTTCAATCATTGCTTTCACCCACTTCGAATCTTTCAATGCCTCAGCTGCATTGACTGATTCGACATCTGCGTAGAAAGCATAATGTACCAACTCACCCTCTTCATCAACTACATCATCTGATGTAATTACACATTCTTGCAACCTTGCAGGCATGTGTCTTGTTCGTCGAGGTCGGCTTGAACCTGCTTCATCTGCAACTGGTTCTAGTCGAGCTTCTATTTCGACTTCAGTGGCTGGTTCTTCACAAAAGATTCTCACTGAATCCTTCTTGGCATTCTCAGTCCAATCCCATTCTTTAAGCTCATCTATGATCACATCCCTGCTGATCACTACCTGCTTATTCACTGGGTCGAACAGCTTGTAACCTCCTGTCGAATGATATCCTATCAAGATCATCTGATTCGACTTATCATCAAGCTTCCTTCTCAACTGATCTAGCACATGTCTATGTGCTATAGATCCAAACACCTTCAAGTGACTAATACTAGGCTTGACACCAGACCAACATTCTTCTGGTGTGATTCCTTCAAGCTTCTTCGTCGAACATCTGTTCAATATATATGTTGCTGTCAAAACTGCTTCTCCCCATAATTCTTTAGGTAGATGCTTTCCATTCAACATACTTCTCACCATATTCATGATGGTTCTGTTCTTGCGTTCTGCAATCCCATTTTGCTGTGGAGTGTAAGGTGGCACCACCTCATGCACAATCCCTTCTTTTACACATAGTGTATCGAACTCTTTCGACACATACTCTCCACCACCATCAGTCCTCAGAATTTTTAGCTTTCGACCACTCTGTCTTTCGACCATGGACTTGAATCTGGAAAATACCTCAATCACATCACTTTTCTTCTTGATGAGGTAAGTCCACAACTTTCGACTGTAATCATCTATAAACGTGACAAAGTATCTATTGCCACCAATCGAATCCACCTGGATTGGACCACATACATCAGAGTATATGACTTCAAGTATTGCCTTCGACTTCCTTCCTGCATCCTTGCTGAAGCTATTCTTGTGTTGTTTCGAATGAACACACTCCTCACAGACTTCACTTGGAATGTCGATTTCTGGTAATCCTGAAACCATATTTCTTCTCTTCAGTTCTTTGATGTCATTAAAGTTGAGATGACCTAGTCGAAAATGCCATAACCACTCATCTCTGCTGGCTGCAGTTGTTAGACATCTGTGCTCCATCACATTAAGTCCAATCTTGAAGGTCCTATTCTGAGACATTGAAGCCTTCAAGATTAGTCTACCACTTGCATTGAGGACTTTCATCATCTTGTCTTCGACAACTACCTTGTAGTTCTTTTCGACAAGCTACCCTATACTGAGCAAATTACTCTTCATGCCTGGTATGTACAACACATTGGAAATTGTTGACCTTTTGCCATCTTTCCTCATAATTAAAACATCACCAACACCTTCAGCTGCTAGAGTGTTGTCATTTGCAAACTTCACAGTATTCTTCGACGAGGGCTTCATGTTGACAAACCAATCTTTCCTTCCAGTCATGTGTGATGAGCATCCTGAGTCCAAGTACCACTGATCTTGGAATCTTTCTTCATCGTTTGTTGTGACCATTAACAACGTTTCTTCTTCTTCATGTTTCGCCAGCTTTGCATCAGTCTCTTGATTTCTCTTCTTTTCTGGACAATCACTAACATAATGACCATACTTCTGGCAATTGAAACATTGAATATGGATTTTGTCTGTCTTTCGATCACCACCTCTTCCTTTACATGCAGCACCACCTCTTTGGTTGCCTTGGTTCCAAGGTTTCTTTTGATTCGACTGGTTTCCTCCTTTGTTGCCATTCCAGCTACC